AGATGCATGAAGCAAATGTTCACAAAAGGTGTATAAAATTTTACATATGATGCAGTTTGAACATACTGCTTGAATCAACTTAAGAAATTGTTTCCCAATAGAATGTCATTCCCATGTTCATTACTTTCATATACTCAGGGGATTATAACTTTAGTTCCTCCAATTATGACAATAACTCTTTCTATTGTTTTTTTATATTGAATAATACTTCCATCTATGGTTACACCTTTTATAGTTTAAGAGGTATTCTTCTAATAATACTTTGGGAATACATTTGTCACGCCCTAGAACCCAAATCCGAGGCGCGACAGACGCCGTGCACTCGTGAGACGGGTCCCACAAGTGTACAAGGCTCGGAACTTATCCAATTCACATCTGATACCACAAAAATCTGAAGATCAAATTTTTAAAATTTACTCTAACTTACAAGGTCACCATTTATATCTAAGATCCATATTCAAATTATAGGTGGCTAGCCTTCTAACTCGTCACTCCCCTTGGTTTCCCCGTCCTCGATTTCGTTTCCTGAAATGGTGGACAAGGAAAACTATGAGATAACTCAGTAAGTAAATATGGATAGCCCTTGAGTAAAACTTTTAAGCATGCCAGATAAACCATGTAAGTATAACAGAACTTTCACTGATAAACCGTTAATGCGGAAATCAAATTCGGTTCAATAGCAAAACGTTCAATGACAAAACCGTCAATGCAAAATCAGATTCAGTTCAATAACAATGTTTCATGACAAACCGTTCATGCAGAATAAATCATTACCCTTGTCCAGATTCAATACCTCCCATTAACAATTCTAACCTTACTAACCTCTAAACATTACCCTTGTCAAAAAAAAAAAAAAAAAGAAATCTAGCCAATTTACTTTCTTTTTCTTAAAAGGTTAAATATTTTTTTTGGTCCTTTTACTATAGAAAAAAGTTTATTTTCGATCCTTGTACCGAAAAAATTCCTTTTTTAGTACCTAAATTTTAAAATCTAGCTCCTTTTTAATCCTTCCGTTAAATTTTGACTGACGTGGCAGGTTAATTAAAGGAAAAACTCATTTTGTTTTTTTACTAAATTACGTGGAAAATCCATTTGGCAAAAATTGATGACATGGTTAAATTTTTTTACTTTTAATTACTAATTTACTCTCAAAGATTGATGACATGGTAAAATTTTTACTTTTAATTACTTATTTACCCTCATCTTCTTCCTCATCCTCTCCTTCCTCCGGCCTTTTCTTTTTTTTCTTTTTTACCTTTTACCTCCAAGTGAACCCAAGAGTCTGGGTTCGCGAGGAACCCAGCTCGCGGGTTCGCACCCAGGACCTTGGGTTCACGAGGAACCAAAGTAGCCTAGCTAGTGGGTTCGCCATGAACCGAGCTTGCGGGTTCGCCACGAACCTAGCTTATGCTCCATCTGTGAAATCTCGAGGGCTTTCCTAGCCACTATAGTTTCGTTTTTTATCTTCTTTGTTTGAAAATGGGTTTGATTTGCTTCACTTATGAGAATTTGATATGGCAAATGAAGTAAGATTTTGATATGCATAACCCTTGAGAGCGATGTTGATGGGAAAAATATTGTAGACCCAAATCCAGTTGATGATAGTTGATTTTGATGGGTTGGACGAGACGGGATCGAGGGTTCTAAATCAAGTCAACCATGGTATAAGGCAAAGATCTAAAGAGTACATCAGTAACAACTTAGCCATTGTTGCTAACATGCTGCTTCTTCTTGAGAAGTTTGGTCTGAAAATGCATTAAAGTTTCTTGTTTCTCTTGCTTCAGATTTCGATTTCCAAGTCTTGATTCTCAGTTTCTGGTTTGTAATGAAAATGATTGTGTAAAATTACACCTGTAAAGACTATTGTGGATTTTTATCTCTTCTTTTCTTTGATCCATTTCATTTCTGTTGTTTTTTTGAAAATTGATGAATTACGAATTCAAGAAGAGATGATAAACATAAATATGGAAAGAAGGAAGTCCTCTTCTTTGTTTTCTTTTTTACCATGAGAAAGTACTAGGTTCCTTGTGAACCCAGGCTCTTAGGTTCGCCTGGAGGTAAAAGAAAAAAAGAAAAAAAAAAAAAAGGCTAGAGGAAGGAAACGATAGGGAAGAAAATAAGGGTAAATCAGTAATTAAAGGTAAAAAATTTAACCATGTTATCAATTTTTGCCAGATGGATTTTCCACATGATTTAGTAAAAAAAAAAAGAGTTTTTCCGTTAATTAACCTACCACATTAGTCAAAATTTAACAGGAGAACTAAAAATGAGTCAGATTTCAAAATTTAAGGACCAAAAAGGGGCTTTTTCCTATAGTAGAGGGACGAAAAAGGCTATTTAACCTTCTTAAAATAACAAATGACGATAGAAGTATAATTTTTCTATACCATTTTTTTATATAATTTTTATATGAATAGATACTCTCAATATCATGAGTTTTAAATGAATAAAATAAATCAATTATTTAAATGAAACGTAAAATTATATTAAAAAGTAATATAAAAATATTATCCCTAAGTTATTATCCTAAAATAATTATCCTTTTTAAATTTGAGTTTGTTCGAAATTATTCTATAATTATTTTTTGGTTTAAATACAATTTTGGTCTCTCAACTTTTCACTTTGACACTAAAATTGTCCCTCAACTTTAAAAAGTATCAAAATTATCTTTAAACTTTTATTTTCAGTACCAAAACGATCCTTCCATCAGTTAAGTGATAGATGTCACGTTATCTTAGTAGAAAATCACATTTTAAAAAATAATAATAATTATGTGGAAAACAAACCCAATGATATGGCATTTTTCTTTTTCCATGTGGCATTTTTTTCTTAAATAAAAAACCACATAATTTATTATTATATTATTCATCTTCTTCTCCTCCCTTCTTCTCTCTCATCCATCTGCCCTTCCTTTTTCCCAACCTTCTTCTTCCTCTCTCAAACCCAGATCTAGGTTTCATCACATAAAATTGACGATTTGAAGAAGTTGGGCTTCCGTAACTTTGTTAACATGGATTTTATAGAGAAGTTTGATCTTATTAGAAACTTCTCTACAAAAATCCATCACAACATGGTCAGAACTTTGTCTAAACGGCTTCCCCCCTATGATCTTTTCATTAATCATCGAGTAATCGACACAAAGAGAACCATTTTCAGATTGCTCTACAACCACCTTCGAATTCTAATGCAACCCATTTCTGGGTTGCATTAGATACGATCTGCGGAGCCCAAACCCAAAAATGACGCAGCACTGCTCACATTGTAGCCACAACGACACTACTCCAAGACATGCCCCAACCGTGGGGTCAAGTTCTTTGGGGTACGCTTGACGGACGGGTTGATTCGAAAGAGCGTAAGTATGGGAAATTCAACAAGTATGCCGGGTCGAATTCCAATGTACATAATGCAAATGGGTCAGGTTCGCCTAGGGAAGGACATGATCATGCCGACGATTATGCCTCTAAGGATGTTGTTCTGGGGTCGTCTTCTAGCTGGGAGGGAAAGAAAGGTTTGTGATTTTTTTATTTTTTTTAAGATTCTTATATGGATGTTTAAATTTGGATCCTTTTTTATCATTGGTGGTTCTTTTTGGATTTAATAACAAAAAGTAGGAAATGGGTTTAAGAGGAAGCAGAAGGGAGAAGAGAGAGAGAGAAAGAATAAGATCAAACCCAAATCTGGGTTTTTCAACAGCTGGTCACTGTCACTGGACAAGTAGGTGTCGAACAAGAACATTAGCTATCCATAAATGATAATCAAAAGGTTACCGAGTGCGAAGGTGGTGCATGACATGAACCCGTAGCTTTGCTCACAAGATGACTCCTCTGCCAAAAATGGCTTGAGGAGAAGGTAAGGCGAGCCACTTAACAGATCGTGGATTCCATCAGAGACGAGGTCGGAGGTGAAGAGGAATCAACAGCTATAAGCTGGGATGCAAAGGAAGAAGAGGTCGGAGGTGTCAATGGATCAAAGGACTTGCTGCTCATGTGACTTTAGATAGAAGTAAGCAACCAGATCTAAGTTTCTCCAATATTCTCCATCTCTGTCGCTTTCCCTTTCCTTCCATCACATGGTCTATGTTTCCCTTTTCTTCATTAATTTCCCTTGCTAGTTTTATAGTAGAAATAATGTGGGATTAATTTGAGAAATCATTACAGTTTCAAGCTTTAATCTCCATTTATGGGGGGATTTCTTGTTTGTGTGCTCTTGGGTTTTCAGTGGTTGGATATTTTGGGTTGAACTTTGTTGGTGTTTCTTTTGCTATTCTTTCAAGAGAGCATACTAGATTGCAATTGAAAAGCCGATTGATATCTCCTTGAAGCGAAAGAGAGACGAGCACTCCACGAGTCAACATCCATTTCTATAACCTCTCTTTCCATAGTGAATTTCGATCTATGCTCAAAAAAATCAACAAAACAAACAGTATTTAAAAGCTTGAAACAAATTGGATTCGATGTTGGTTTGAGAACCTAGATTTGGGTTTGAGAAGAAAGGAGGAGAGAGAGAGAGAATAAGAAGAAGAAAGAAGAAGGATGAGCAGGGAAAGGAAAGGAGGAAGAAGATAAAGTTTGAGAGAGAACCCAGATCTGGGTTTGCAGAGGTAAGGATAAGGAAAGGTAAAAGAGAGAGAAAGTGAAGGAGGAAGAAGAGATGACATGGACAGAAAAATATGATTTCATTATTTTAAAATTGAATAAGAATGCCAACTCATATAAAAGAAGGTTAACTATGTTTTCTTTTTTCTATGTCATTAGTTAAGAAAAAAAAGAACTGATTTGTTAGCAAATTAACGTGCCACATGTCACTTTAATTGACAGAAAGATCATTTTGATATCGAAAATGAAAGTTTAATGATAATTTTAGTACTTTTTAAAATTGAGAGACAATTTTGGTGTCAAAGTGAAAAATTGAGGGACCAAAATAGTATTTAAACCATTATTTTTTATTTTTTAAGATA